TATGTGTATCAGTGTATGTATCTGTATGCCTATGTATCTGCCTAACAGAGTAGGTGCTTGTGACAAACTCCCCCTTTTAAGTGAGTTTGCCATGAGATTTTGGAGGGGCCTGCTTGCCCGCCTCCTGCCCTGTAACTATGGCCCCTGGGATGTATTGCCCTTTAAACGCATTATTTGGGAATATTGGATTTTATTACACTTTTTCTGCCCCTTTAATTCAATGGGAAAATGTGCCTCTTTCCCTCCCCCTTTTTCCTGTCCTATTGTTCTCCAGCAGGGCGTTGTCCCAGGCTACACTGCCAGACCAGTTGAAACTGGCTGCTTTCTTCTTCCTCAATCTCTCATCAGCCCTTGCTATTGTTTAACCCCATGCCGATCCAACTGTATTCGTGAGATCTGAGTGCTTTTCGGACATATTGAGTGCTCAGAATCAAACTATCTGGGGATATGTTGGACATATAGGTTAAACATTGTATTATGAGTTATGTATTTTTATGTGGTTTTTGTAACAGTTTTTTGACTTAGAGATATTTCCTGTTACTGGAGATAATTGGCTTACCACAGCCCCTTAAGCCAATTATCTCCAGGATAGAGTAGAAGATAGACCGGCTGCACAGCCTAAATCTGTGGAACTGTTTTGGGCATGAAAGCCATGCTTGCAGTCGGTCAAATGTGACTTCCATAAAACCTTTGAACCTTTGAACCCCTGATCTGGGTGATTTTTGGATATGTTGTTCACCCAGATCAGAACTATCCACGGGATATGTTGTTGTTTTGTAGTGTTTCTGGGTTTTGGGTAAAAACTGTATATTTTCTGCCTGCGGTAATTAAGTTACCCCATTGTGTTCAGTAATTATATAACAGGCAGAGGGGAGGGTTAATGTGCCTTAGCTGGGAGTGTCTGACTGTACTGTGTTGATTGTGTCCTGTGTACCACAAGGTCCATGTGGGTGGTAACCTTGTTGGAAAATGTGTATATAAGAAAGTCCTGTGTGCTCATTAAACCAGTTCTAATTCACCCTCAATTTAGAGTCCTGACTCTTATTGGGGGAATCTGCTACAAGGGATTGATATGCTCTTCATACTCCATTGAATAATCATTAAGCTCTTGTAAGAGCTTGTTCCTGCTTCACTCTCTGGGGAAAGAAAGGTTCATCCACTGGAACCTGGAGCCTTGTCGTAGGTCCAGGGTGGGTAGGAGACAGTGAGACCCCAACCAAGCTGTGGTGGTTCGTGGGGGTCTGCAGTTCTTATGGTGTCAAGTGGAGTGCTTGGAGCCCTCTGGAAGCACTAGGAGCATCCATCGACGGAGGTAACCAGTTGGAGTGCCAGGTGATCCGTTACAGTGGTATATTGAAATTGGATCTTTCTGCTTTTATTCAGAAGATTTTATCTGGAGGAATCTCACATTTAATTCCTTGGTGGGACACTCTGCCTCCTTTTTGGCACCGCAGCCACACATATCATGTGATGCTCACCACGGCGCCACCTTTGATATTCCCAAATATGTCTAACACATTTGTTTTACATTAGTTTCAAATTTAGCAATGCCAATTTAAGCATTGAAAGTCTCCCAGTCCTGCAAACACTTTGGTAAAGCCAATTATATGGTGAAACTTGATTGTGTATTGCAGATTTTTTCTACTATAATTTTATTGTTTTTGCCACTAAAGTACTTTTTTATCCTGGACCTTAATATTTTGCTGCTTGCCTCCTGATCTTAACATCCTTGGTGGGGATTTATACATCTACAAAGCTAGGATCGAGCGAATCGTATTTTACATGTAAGTTTGTATTTTATGGTGTACACTATATTGTTTTAGTCTATTTTTTTTACATGGAAAGGACCTACATTACCTACATATCCTAGAGTGAGAATTATTCCACTCCACGCT